ACAGACAAGCCTACAAGCTGAACTACACCAGGGACATGTACTCCTTAGAACAATCAACCATGGGAGATCAGAAAGGCAACATTTGCACAGGGAGAGCATAGAAGGCAGGAATGTATAGGTGGGAAGGACATAGGGAAAGGGTGACCACAGGGAGAAAGTGGGAGAAGAGCTGTAACATTATGGGAATTGTAATCAGTGTCACAAAACAAAATGTGTATGAACTGTTGAATATGAAATAAATCTGGTTTATAAAATTTCACTCAAGTCACAATAAAAATTTTAAAAAAAGAAATAGGCAGAGGATATAAACAGACACTTCACTAAAGAAGACATTCAGGTGGCCAACAAACACATGAAGAAATGCTGCAATCATTAGTCATTAAAGAGATACAAATCAAAACAACAATGAGTCATCATCTCACCCTAGCATTAATAGCAAAATTCAAAACAACAGAAAATAAGCTGGCGAAGTTGTAGAGACTGGAACCCTCAAACCCTACTGGTGACTCTGTAAAATGGTACAACCACTGTGGAAAACAGTATGGTGCTTCCTTAAAAAGCTGTAAATAAAAAAAAATTACAATTCAGTAATTACTACTGGGTATATCCTAGAGAAATAAGAGTCATGACATGAATAGATATATGCACAACCAGGTACATCTTAGTACTATTCATGATAGTAAAAATGGAGTCAACTTGAGTGCCCACTAAGAGATGAATAGATAAAGTATGGTACATGTACACAGTGGAATATGGATGAACCTAGAGGACACTATGCTAAGTGAAATACCAATAACAAAAGGACACTATATCAGAGCACCATTGTAAAAAGTCAAGAGAATGTTTACACACAGAATCATTCTTTCAAGGATAGGAGGGGGAGAGAGATTAAGTCAGTAACTAGAGGTAACTTGAGTGAAGGGAAAGGCAGTATATAATAAGGGGGGATCAGCACAAAATGATCAAGGCAAAGGAAGACATTGGGAGTAGCACAAGAGTTAAAGGCAACAGAGGTAAATACTATTACATACCAATCCTGCAATAATAATAATAACACTAATCTATGAGTGGATACCTTGGTAGACACTTAAACTGAATAAGGTTAAGGTAGCAAATGAGACTATGACCCATGAATACATTTATGTATGCATGTCTCACAGAAGATATTTTAACATATGTACTTATATGTGATGCAAGCATATCCATGAATACAGTAGAACCTAGAGCTCTATGGGGAGCTCTGGTGGCATAGTGCCTAAGGCATTTGACTGCTAACCAGAAGTTGGCTATTCAAAGTCCCCAGCCATCTTCAGAAGGAAGACTGGGCAATCTACTTCTGTAGTGATACCACCTCAGAAACCCAAGGAGGGGTTGCTATGAGTCGAATCCCACCCAACAGCAGTGAGTTTGTTTGTTTGTTTGTTTGTTTGTAAGAGCTTTATTGGCACTGTGGTTAAACTACTAGGCCGCTAACCAAAGGGTCCATGGTTCAAATCTACCAGCTGTTCCACAAAAGAAAGATGAGGCAGTCTGCTTCCATAAAGATTTACAGCTCTGGAAAACCTATGGAGAAGTTCTACTCTGTCCTAAACGGGTCACTATTAGTTGGAATCAAGGTGATGGCAGTGGGATATAGTATGGCATACAGGAGATGAAGTTATGAAAACTTCCTAGCCATAGTCAAATACCTTAGGGAACAAGTCACTGGGTCTGGGGGCTCAGGACAACAGTTTTGGGGGACACTAACATTAACTGTCATAACATAGTCCACAAAGACTATGGTCTATATCCTACTTTGGTGAGTAGCAACTAGGATCTTAAAATGTTATGAGCAGCCATTTAAGGTACAATTACTGGTCCTTTCCCATCCAGGGCAAAGAAGAGTGAAGAAAATCAAAGATGTAAGACAACACTTAGTTCAAAGGACTAAAGGGTCACGTGAAGCCTTGTTGTTGTTGTTGTTGTGTGCCGTCGAGTCAGCCCCGACTCATAGCGACCCCTCCTTGGGTTTCCGAGGCAGTATCACTACAGAAGTAGGATTGCCCAACCTTCCTTCCGAGGAGTGGCTGGTGGGTTTGAACCGCCAGCCTTCTGGTTAGCAGTCAAGTGCCTTAGCCACTATGCTACACGTGAAGCCTAGCCTTCACAATCCTGAGACCAGAAGAACTAGATAGTGCCTGGCTACCTTTACTGATCACTCTGAAAAGGATCATAATAGCAGTCCTGGATAGAGTGGGAGAAAAATGTGGAACAAAACTCAAAATCATAAAAAAAAAATCAGGCTTACTGATCTAATAGAGACTGGTAGAACGTCCAAGATCATGGCCTTAGACACTCTTCAACCTGAGAACTGAACTAAATCTTGTGGTTCAATTTTTAGCCAAACAGTAGAAAGGCCCACAAGATGAACAGTAACATATGGGAGGTATCCACCCCTTAGAACTATCAACCACAAGTGATCAAAAGGACAGCATTTGCCCAAGGATAAAGCTCAAAAGGCAGGAAGGGATAGGAAAGAAGGACAATAGAAGCAAACAAAAACAAAACGTGTATGAAGTCTTGTATGATAAACCAATTTGTTCTGCAAACTTTCACCCAAATCACCATAAAAAGTTTTTTTAAAAATTTCTTGATTAGAATTAAGGAAAATAAAGACTTTCAACATCATGGGTTTTTAACTTTATATTTCCTTGACTTTCTATCATAACACTTCAAGTCTTTCACCAATCTAAAACCAATCTTCTTAGATTTCCATACCTGCTTGCTTACTAGCTGTCAAACGAAAGTATATTAACTGGGTATTCTAATAAAAGTTCTTAAATCTATTTTCTCACTTTATTGACAATGTAATCATTGTAACTGCTTCAACATATGTCCCTACAGATTTCAACCTCTCAAAAAATGAAAAATAGACTCTTCCTTAAGAATTGGTGTTTCACATCCTACTTTGCCGAGTAGTGACTGGGATCTTAAAAGCTTGCCAGTGGTCATCTAGATGCAATGATGGGTCCTTCCTCATCCAGAGCAAAGAAGAATGAAAAACACGAAAGACACATGGAAACAATTAGTCCAAGCAACAGGTACACCATGCAATCCTCAGCCTTTATGACTATGAGACCAGAAGAACTAAATGGTGCCTGGCTATCACTGTCAACCACTTGGAGGGGATCTATGTAGGAGATTCTGGATACAGTGGGAGAACAATGTGAAACAAAGCTCAAAATCATAAAAAGAAAAATGGGATGAGGTTTGCTGGGCTGATAGAGCCTGGTGGAACCCTTGAGACTATGGCCCCTAGCTGTCTTTCAGGTCTGGAAATGAACCCACTCCTGTGGCTTCCAGCCAAACAAAGACAGGCATGTAAGCTGAACATTTACATTAGGTAGATACACTCCTTGTAGAGATCAATCATGGGAGAATAGAAGGGCTATGTATGCACAGGGAGACAGCTCGGGGGGCAGGAGTGGATGTGAGGGAAGGATAGAGGAAGAGGTAACTATAGGGAGGAAGTGGGAAGACAGCTGTTGCATTGTGGGAAATTGCAGTCAATGCCATGAGATAAAGTATATGTGAGCGACTGTACGGAAAGTGAATTTGCTCTGTAAAATTTTACCCAAATCACAACTTAAAAAAAAAAAAAAAAGAATTGGTGTTTTAAATATTTTTGAAGAAAAGAGGAAGACTTTATTAATTTTTGTCAGATGTTCTAGAAACAACAAATTGGAGAATAGTAATCATGGAGAGAGTGAGGTGGCTGTATTCACACAGCACTCTTTATACTCAGACCTATTGTTCTCAACCCTAATTGCACTGCAGAATCACTTATGAAACTTTAAAATATATATACTGAACCTAGGTCCCATCTCAAACTTATCAAATCAAAATTTCTATATATTGGGTCTAAATATAAAACAAATGTGCTAAGTATTTCAAATCAACAGTTCAAATCCAAGAAGAGATGCTGTTATCTCCATTTTGCAGATGAGGAAACTGAAGCTCAGAAAATCCAAGTAACTTGCCTCATGTCACAGTTAATAAATACACAAGGAATCAGAACTAGGTTGAGTCTGAAGCTTATATTGTTTCTGCCTCCTAAGGCTGTTTAATGGGACCACAGTCTTGGGGGACATCATGCTCAATTAGCACAATATAGTACATAAAAATCTTGTTCTACAAACTATTTTGGTGAGTAGCAACTAGAGTTTTAAAAGCTTTCAAGCAGCCATCTAAGACGTAACTATTGGTCTCTTCTCATCTGAATCAAGGAAGAGTGAAGAAAATCAAAGGCATCTGGAAACAATTAGTCCAAGGATTAGACAGATGACAAGGACCTCAGCCTTCAGGACTCCAAAACCAGAACGAGATGGTGCCCGGCTACTAATGCCAACCACTTAGAAAGGGATCAAAACTGGAGATCCTGGACAGAGTGGAAGGAAAAATGTGGAATAAAATTCAAAAACACAAAAATGACCAGAATTACTGGTTGGATAGAGTCTGGTAGAACGCCCAAGACTAAGGCCCCAGGTTATCCTTTGGGCCTAGAAATGCACTCACTCCCATGGACTGGCTCTCAGCCCAACAGAAGAAAGACCTACTTGTGGATGACCTATCCCAGGGCAATGCACCCACCCATCTAAGCAGATGCACCCCTTAGAACAATCAGTCATGAGACACCAGAGGGGCAGCATTCACACAGAGAAAAGCTGGATGGACAGGAATGCATAGTTAAGAAGGGCACAGGGAGGGGGTAGTGACAGGGATGGGAGGGAAAGAGTTTTTTATGGTTGGGGATGATAATCAAGGCATGAAATCAGATGTGCATGAACTGTTTAATGTAAAACAAATTTGTCTTGTAAGTTTGCACCCAATACGCAATTAAAAAAAAAAACTATGACATTAAAATAATTTTTCTTTTCAATTTAAAATAGTGTCTGCTAATCAGTAATTACTCAAATACTGGTGAAAAGAATCAATGAAAAGTAATTCCAATGAATACTTACACTACTTACCTCACTCATGGTAAGTTTTCTAAGAATAAATTCAGAAATGGCCTCCGTAGTAGACATGACAAAGGTCTGAAGAAGAGTAAACACTTCATCTGTATGGAAAAAAATTGTATATAACTAAAAATGATAGAAATAAGCTCTTTGGTACAAAACACACTAGATATGATAATAAAAATACAACTATGTTAAGCACCCATCACTTGTGTCAGTTGGTCATACTGTGGTGGCTTGCATGTTGCTGTGATGTTGGAAGCTATTATGCCACTGGTATTTTAAATAACAGCAAGGTCACTTAGTGAAGCTACCAGACTAAGACAGAATAGGAAGAAGGTCCTGGCAATTTACTTCTAAAAAAAATTGGCCGGTGAAAACCTTATGAGAACACTGTGACACAGTGCTGGTTCATTTTACTTAGATCCACAGTCAATGTCCCTAGAAGCAGCAGTGGAAATCAAACAACATATTGCATTGCTTTTGTTAAAACAAAGGATGTCACTGTAAAGACTAAGGCACGGCTGACGCAAGACAGGGTATCTTCTATAGCCTTATATGTATATGAAAGCTGGGCAATGAATAAGGAAGACAGAAGAATTGATGTCTTGGAATTATGGTGGTGGCAAAAAATAGTGAATATACCATGCACTGCCAGAAGAATGAAGATCTTGGAAGAAGTATAGCCAGATAATATAGTCCACAAAGACAATATTCTACATCTTATTTTGGTATGTAGCAACTGGGGTCTTAAAAGCTTGTGAGAGGCCATCTAAGGTGCAACTATTGGTCTCTTCCCATCCAGAGCGAAAAAAGAAGAGCAAAAAAAATCAAAGATACAAGGAAACAATTAGTCCAAAGGACTAATGAAGCATGTGAACCCCAGCCTCCATAACCCTGACACCAGAAAAACTAGATGGTGCCCAGCTACCACTACTGACTGCCCTGAAAGGGACAGCACAATAAGAGGTCCCAGATATAACGGAGGGCAATACGGAACAAAACTCAAAATCATAAAAAGACCAGGCTTACTGGTCTGATGGAAGACTGGTGAAAACCCCGAGACTATGACCCTTAGACACTCTTCAAGCTAGGAACTGAATTTATCCTCTGTGATACAACTTTCAGCCAAATGACAGATAGGCCTATAAAGTAAAACAGTAATATCAGAAGGTTACCTACCAGCCACTCCTTGGAAGGAAGGTTGGGCAATCTACTTCCGTAGTGATACTGCCCTGGAAACCCAAGGAGGGGTCACTATGAGTCGGAGCCAACTCCATGGCAGCATGTCGCATTTTGCATTGTTATGCACTCAGTAGAACAATCAAGCATGTGAAATCAAGAGTACAGCATTTGCTCAGGCATAGAGCTAGGAGGGGATAGAGTAGGAGGGGAAGGGAAGAAAGACAAAGGGTGGGCACAGGGAGAAAGAAGGAAGTATGCTGTTACAGTGTGGGCATGGAAGTAAATGTTATAAAACAGAATGCGTATGGACTGTTGAACAGAAAACCAATTTGCTGTAAACTTTTATGTTTACACAAAGTTTTATTGTAAACTTTCACCCAAATCACAATTAAAAAAAAAAAAAAAAAAAAAGCACAGCCAGCATGCTCCTTAGAAAAGCAAAGATGGTAAGACTTCATTTTATGTACTTTGGACATGTCATCAGAAGGCACCAGTTCCTAGAGGACACCTTACTTGGTAAAGTAGAGGGTCAGCAGAAAAGACAACAACTCTCAACAAGATGGACTGACACAGTGGCTACAACAACAGACTAAAACACGGCAATGATTGTGAGGATGGTGCAGGACCAGGCAGTGTTATGTTCTGTTATATACAGGGTCAATATGAGTCAGAAGTGACTTGACAGCACCTAATAACAACAATAATATTAATTAAGCACACAGGTAAATCACTTACAACAAATGGATTCCAATCATATATTAACTATTAATAATGTGGGGGAATCTATAATTAGTCTTCTTGAACATCATTTAAAAGTTCTTGCTACCAGAACAGGGATGGAACAGGGGCATACCATCCTCTCTCACTGAATAGAAGTATATTATCTGGACTGAAGGTACAGAGCAACTATTTGAGAACTCAGAAAGGTAACAGGAAGATTCAGGAAGAAGACTAGACTTTGAAGTAACACTGCACAGCAATGGGCTTACTAATTTTATTCTCTTAGATCCTCCTTCAGAAAAGAACCATACAAAAGAAGAGTCACAAAAATGGGCAGCAGAATGTGCAAGTAAAACCTCTACTTTTTCACACAGAAAAAAAAAAAACTCATTGCCGGTGAGTCATTTCTGACTCACAGCAACCCCTCCTTGGGCTTCCGAGGCCATATTGCTAGGGAAATAGATTGCCCAATCTTCCTTCTGAGGAGTGGCTGTTGGATTTGAATTACCAGCCTTCTGGTTAGGAGTCAACTACCTTAGCTCTGGTAGCATAGTGGCTAAGGCACTTGCCTGCTAACCAGACGGCTGGTGGTTCAAACCCACCAGCCACTCCTCGGAAGGAAGGTTGGGCAATCCTACTTCCGTAGTGATACTGCCTCGGAAACCCAAGGAGGGGTCGCTATGAGTCGGGGCCGACTCGACGGCACATAACAACAACAACCTTAGCCACTACACCAGAGGATCTAAAAGAAGAGCCACAGGGCAGGAGGCAATAAGTACTGAAGAGACCCAGAGAGGCAGGAGGTCAGAAAAACAGCTGCAGAAATTCATTTAGGAACTAGGTTTACCCACTACTGCCTCACCCCTAAGATGTACCTTCAGTGACCTGATACTAATTAATGTATCAAAGAGTTTCAGAGCTGAACTAACAAGGAGAGCACTGCTCAGGTCCCAGAATGGTGAATGGATGAAACACAGAAGCAACAGATTCAAACAGCATGAAAAAGGATTTGAAACCAAATCTGACAGTGGTATCAACACGCACAAAATCTGGATTAGAACTTGAGGTCTGAATCTAACCAGGACAATTGCCTGCTAAATAAAAATATCAACATTCTCCATAGGATTTAAACAAGATCTAGCATCTTGTAACATCATATTCAAAATTGCTAAGATATAATCCAAAATTATTTGGCATATAAAGAACCAGGAAAATCTCAGCTCACGTAGGAATAGGCAATAGATGACAATGCCAAGATGACACAGAGTAATCTGTAAAGATTTTAAAGCAGCTATTATAGAAAAAGGAGCTCTGGTGGTACAGTGCCTAAGGCGTTTGACTGTTCAAACCCACCAGCCACTTCTTGGAAGAAAAGTTGGGCAATCTACTTCCGTAGTCATGTTGTTGTTATGTGCCGTCGAGTCGGCCCCGACTCATAGCGACCCCTCCTTGGGTTCCCGAGGCAGTATCACTACTGCCTTGGAAACCCAAGGAAGAGTCGTTATGAGTCAGATCCAACTTGATGGCAGTGGGTTTTTTGTTTTTATTATAGAAAATGTTCCAACAAGCATTCAAAACACCCTTGAAACAAATGGGAAAACAGTCTCAGCAAAGAAACAGGAGATTAAAAAAAAAAAAAAAAAGTGGAATTTTTATAACTGAAATAAAAAATAAATAAAACCACTGTATTACAACAGTAAAGAGATAAAAGAGGAGTCAGTGAACTTGAAGACAGACTCCCCCCCCAAAAAAAAATATGTAATCTGAACAACATAGAGAGAAATGATTTTTTTAAAAAAAGAGACTCAGAGAGTGTGGTGAATTGCTTGATGAGGCCCTTCTAGCCATTGTCATCCATTTTGTGATGTACTGTAAATCCTATTATCCATGCCTGTTTAGGGTGGTGGTAGTTAATGTCATGTGTCAACTTGGCTGGGCAGCTGGTAGTAGTTATTCCCTATCATGACTGGCAATCAGCCATGAGCAACTGAGTAGCTGCTTTTAAACTCCTGATTGTTAAAGTCATCAACTTGGAGTATTTCTGTTGGAGCAGTACAGTTGGGATATATCTTGAGTCCCACCTTGCTTGAGGGTGTAACTCAAATTACCACCCTTAGCTTCCTTGAGGGTATACACAGGAATCTTCTGGGAAGGTTCACCTTCCCTCTTGCTCCAGTTCTGCGTTTTGGCTCATCATCATCTCACCCCTGGATTTGGGACAGCAGCCATCATCTGATCTGCTGACTGAGGTTCATCAAGAATTGGGAGGATCCTCCAGACCTATTTACAAACCTGGGACTTGCCAGCCTGCCAGCCTCCACCACCACTATGTGAGACAATCCCTTGGGTATCTGTGAGTTCTGTAAGACATTACAGCAAAACAGTGAACCCTACGACAGGGGAGAGATTACTGAGAGGAGAAGGAGGAGTTAATGTCTGAAATGATGGAGTGGCATGGTAGTTTGGACATTTGGGACATCTTTAACCTCTGCCTTATAGGGACTGGCCTTGTGCTGACCTCTCTAAGAGAAATTGTTCAAGCAGAGACAAAATAAAAAATAACAAAAAATCTAATATTCATGCCATTAGAATCCCAGAAGACAAAAAAAGACTGTAGTGTTGAAAATATACTTTAATACAAAATGGCTGAAAATTTTCCAAATTTGGTAAAATGCATAAACCTACAGATTGAAGTAGTTCAGGGAACCTCAAAAAGAATAAGGTAAAAGAAATTCATGCCCAGACGCATCATATTTACACTAAAGACAAAGAAAAAATCTTGAAAGAAGATAAAAATGAAGCATTACTATAGGGGAAGAACAATTGGACTGTGGAGTTCTCATCAGAAACCATAGAAGCCAGAAGCAAATGAAAAGACATTTTTTACGTGTTGAAAAAACTATCAACCCAGAATTCTATATTTAGTGAAAATACCCCTCAGAAATGAATAAGAAATAAAGACTTTCTCACATAAAGGACAACTAAGAGAACTCACTGCAAACAAACCTGCTCTAAATGAACTGTTAACCATACCGTAAGTAATTAAAAACATTAAGAATGAAAGAAGAGCAACAGAAACTGTACATATCTGGGTGAACATAACAGACGCTTCCCTTGAGTTATTAAAAAATTTGTTTGACAGCTGTAAGCAAAACTCACACATCTGGTAGGGTTTTCATAAGACACTTATAATATA